CAGGATAGAGCAGGGTTTAGGACTGTTGTGCATAGGGTCGCTATGAGTTGGAAACGACTCGACGGCACATAACAACAACAACAGTGAAACAGCCTTCTCCTATTGTGCAGGAGTAAGATGAGCATCTCCTCCAGTGTGATTTCCAGCCTCCAGAAACTCTTGGAGGGTCAGCTATGAGCTGGTTCCCACTCAGCAGAGATGAGCTGTTTGATGCACATTAACCTATCTAAATGTGACTCTTAGAGCCAACATTTTGTTACTTCTCTATGCCTCAGAATCTTCATTTGAGAAATACTAGTATATACCGCACAGGGCAATGAACTCCATAGTGGGAGCTCTGGTGGCTTAGTGGTAAGGCCTTGTGGTGCCAGCTCAATGGCACACAGTTCAAATAGAAGTTATTCCATAGGGGAAAGATGAGCAGTCTCCTTCCGTGCAGTTAACTGCCTCTGGAAATCCACTGGAGGGTCAGCTTTGAGTTGGTTATGACTCAAAGGTTTGTAACACAACACACACACACACACACACACACACACACACACACAAACTACAAAGATTAAATGAGGCAGTTTAGATAAAGTGCTTAGTAAGTATTCAATTCAAGAATATCCTGCTTGTTTATGGTTGCGTGTCCACCTGCAATTCCTTAAGGGTTTCAAGACCTTAAACCTAAAGTTTGCATCACTGGACCATGGATGGAATACAGGCAAGTGAGGTGAGGGACCTGGCTCTCTGGTTTCATCCCATGGTCAGGTGGGCGAAGCTGGGCACACTTCACTCCCTGCCCAGTCGCTCTAGCTCTGCCAACTGTTGCTGAAGCTGCTTGCTCCACCAGCCTCCATCACAGCTGCCTGCTCCTCTAACCTGTCACAGCTGCCTGCTCCTCTAACCTCCATCACAGCTGCCTGCTCCTCTAACCTCCATCACAGCTGCCTGCTCCTCTGGCCTCTGTCACAGCTGCCTGCTCCTCCGGCCTCAGTCAGACTCTCTAGTCACACCACCACCAGCAGCAGCAGCACTGAGAACAAGCAGAAGCAGCTTCTGTAGATTTTAATATGGTATTGGCACAACATCCAAATCACATAATGTCCTCTGGTTAGTGCTAACAGACGGCTAAGCGGTTCACATCCACCAGCTTCCTCACAGGAGAATGATGGACGGTTTCCTTCCTGTACAGATTTACAGCCTCAGAAAGCCAGTGGAGAGTTGATGGGGTTGGAATGGATCCCACCACAGTGGGTTGCAGTTTAATTTTGGATGTTAAGCTACACATACCTGTAATAGTTCCTCTGCTTGATCTTCGTCTTCCTGCTGCTGCTACCACTGCTGATCTGTTTTCTCTTTTTCTCCATCTTCCAGGTTCCTGAGTCCTTTCAACATGATCCTTGGAGGAATCGTGGTGGTGTTGGTGTTCACAGGTTTTGTGTGGGCAGCCCACAATAAAGACATCCTCCGGCGCTTGAAGAAGGAGTACCCCACCACCTTCGTGCTGATCGTCATGGTGTCTAGCTACTTCCTCATATCCATGTTTGGGGGAGTCATGGTCTTTGTGTTTGGCATCACCTTCCCTTTGCTGT